ACACACACACACACACACACTTGTTGTGAAGCTTGAGGCTGACGTGTGTGTCTGTTTCAGGGAGGACGGAGTCGTTGGCGCCCTTCATGGCTCAGATCGTCTCCAGGATCAGGGAACCCGGTCAGTGCCCCACTCTGTGGTAGTCAAGCAACGGCCCGTGGTCCTAATCCAAGCCCCCCCACGCCTCCACTGGAGGCTCAGATTGTCCTCTGATAAGACCACTGAGGTGGATCCAGGGTCGCGTCAGGGTCTCCTGTCTGTGCAGATATTCACTCTGTAGACACTAGGGGGCGATCCAAACAGCCTCCCTCGTGGGAGCTTTCTTCTTGTGTCAAACATACGGCTCGGGGGCTAGAAGCGGCCCTCCTAGGGTCGAGTCCGGCCCTGTGGATGGCAGTAAAGCTCACGTATGAACCTTTCATTGATGTTAGTGTCTCCGAGCTCCGAGGGAACCTGATGTGATGTCAGTTTTTGGTTTGTTTCATGTCTCCAAACATCCAAAGCATTGATTTTTCTCCCATCTGAAACAAACTGAAGCAGCTTAAAGCAGCTCATCACACATGAGTGGGTCACACTGGGGGTCCTGGGAGGGGCAAACAACGTGCAGGAGGTCGTGAAAGTCTGGTGTTTTCTGATCAAAGCGGTCAGACGGCGGTCGTGCTCCTGGAGAACGTTTCCGTCTGAGCGCGTTGATCCAAGCAAAGCTGTTTGATGAAGTGACATCGTGTCTGTTTGCAGACTCAAAGACGTACACTCAGGACGGGGTCTGCCTGACCGAGTCGGGCCTGTCTCACCTGCAGTCTCTGGTCGAACCTCTGACGTCGCCGCGCAGGTGGCGCAGGTAAGGCCGCCGCCCTCTCGTGCTGCGCCGTCAGGTCGATGTGGGCGGGCGTGACGCTCTGCTTCCTGTCTGCAGGTGTAAACCCAAACTGAAGCTGAGGATCATCAACCAGAACAGCGTGTCCGTCCTGCAGACCCCAGCGGACGCCGAGCTGGACCACGGCAGAGGTCAGTCGCGCTCACCGTTACGCTCGCTCAGGTGTGGAGTTTCTCACCTGAACATGTGACCTGCATGGATTCACTCTGCAGGCTGAAGCGCGTTTTAGCCACGAGCAAGTTCGTATTGTGCTCGAGGTCACGCCGCTGGACCGCTGACCTTTGACCCAGCTGAGCTGCCTTCAGGTTCATGTTTCTTCTCTGACGTTACAGCGTCAGATCAAAGGTCATTCAGTCTTTGCAGAGGCTCTTATTTTGAAAGTGATTCTGTCTGACTTCCTGTTCTCATTGTTAATAGACTGTTATTGGTCGGGTGGTTTAAAGTCACATGATGCTAGAGCTTCCTGTCAGCAGGTGTACTGACGCTGCGTATGTAACCAAGGTTACCTTGTTTGTTTGGATTTAGGATTGTGGGCGGAGTCGTCGTGTTCTGTGACCTCGTGAATAAACGTGCTCGCCGTGGTTGTGAATATGACATCAGCGTTAGCACCGCCATCATAAACTCTATTTAAACGGGCTGAAAACGCCGCTAACGATGTTTTCACTGCAGCTCCGCTCGACTGCGAGATGAAATCTGACTCCAGCCCCGAACGAGATCACGTCCAAGACGATGACATCGCCAAGGAGCCCGATGTCGCTGACGGCAACAAGAAGAGGAAACGGAAACCCTACAGGCCAGGTGAAGAGGGGGCGGGGCCTGGGATAGGTCAGAGCAGGGTTCTGTGCAGACATGTCTCCATGCCAACCAGTCTGTGTGTTTGTATGTGTCTCAGGTATCGGCGGGTTCATGGTGCGTCAGCGTGGCGCCAAGGCGGGGGTGGGTGCAAACCGCATCAAGCTGTGCAGGAAGGATTCGACGGAGATGCTACCGGGCCGGGATGAAGGTGAGACGCCTCTCGCCTGTGGACACGCCCACCTTTCACCCACTGCTGATGTCAAAAACAAACTCTGTGTTTTGATTGCAGACGTTGCCATGGAAATGGTGCCCACAATCACTGTCCAGACATCAGAGAAGTCAAAGAAGAGGTACAGGAAGAAGAAGACGAAGCTGGAGGAGACCTTCCCCTCTTACCTGCAGGTAACACTCTCTCACTCACACACACGCTCACACTCACACACACACACACACAATGAGAATCCCTGCACTCTGATTGGCTGATTCCTCCTCTCTCCAGGATGCATTTTTTGGTCGAGATCTTCTCGATCGGAGCCGACAGGTGGACAGGGGGGCGGGGCCAGAAGCAGCAGCCAGTAGCCAACCAAGACCAGCGACAGGTAACCTGAAAGGCCCAGCTCCTGGATTTCAGGCCCCTCCCCTCTCTGGCGCCAGCAGGAAGGCGGCAGCGCTGCGTGAGTTACTGCTTTGTTTACGTTTTTATCAGCATTTCATCCTCACTCATCATTGGCTGAGGAGCTTGGTAGAGGATGATGCCACTTCCTGTTGACGGACAGAAAGTGTCATTGTGAGTGAATCGTGTTTGTGTGTGTGTGACCATCCAGCCGGGTCGGATGGCGGTCTCGTGGATCTGTCCGACGTCCTGAACACCGACCCTCACATCCTCGCCACCGGACACACAGGTACTCCCATCAGCCCCTTCATCCTCTGCCCACTCAGGGACCACACCAACGAAGAAGAGCTCACACCATAACTGTGTGTATTTGTTTCCAGGTCAGTTCCAGGTGGAGCGCTCCCCGTCTCCATTTGGTAAGACTCCCCAGGAAGACCTCCTCCTCTTCCTCTTTCTCCTCCTCCTCCTCTTTCTCCTCCTCCTCCGTCTCACTTTGGTTCAGTTTTGTGTTTCTGGACGGCCAAAATAAATTTAATAAACTACAAAATGAAACGGCTGCAGTTCCTCTGACGTCCAGCAGAGGCAGCAGTCAGTCAGGCCCCGTACAAACTGTGTCTGGAGATGATTTCCTTGTTCTCTTGTTAGGGGCGTGGCCTCTTTGACTTGACAGCTGGTTGTAGCTGTCTGCTAGCTTTACCTGAACTCAACCTGTGGACCACGTTTGTGCTGCTGGAGCCTTCTGAAACTTTTCTTCCTCTGTTTGTTCTCCTCCTCCTCCTCCTCCTCCTCCTCCTGTCCTGTGATATAACCTGGATCATCTTCTTCTCCTGCAGAGATCAGACTCATTCTTCTTCTGCTGCTTCCTGCTGACCTCCAGTCTCTCCGTGCATCTGTCTCTTATTTAACCCCCTTCCCCTCTCTCAGCAGGTCTGGACATCAGCTCTGTGGCACATGACGCCTCTTTGACTTCTGAGCCAACGGGAAGCAGTGGGCGTGTCCAGAGGGCAATGCAGGAAGAGCCTCTGGACGCCATCTTGAGTCCTGAGCTTGATAAGATGGTCACTGATGGTGAGTTGAAGAGGAAACAGGAAGTGCTCACAGATTCTAGAGCAGCTGATTGACGAGTGTTCGTCTGTTTCAGGTGCCATCCTTAGCAAGCTCTACAAGATCCCAGGTAAGACCGAGCACCTGTGTGGGCGTCAGCGCCATAAGTCAGCCAAGAGTTTATTAATCTAACTAAGATGATTGACCAATCAGAAGCAGGGACAGGTCAGCTGACAGCAGAGCGACTGAAAAGGGAACGTATTCGTTATTAAATGTTGAGCAGCTGCTTCTGCACAGACAGCATCACACTGTCATCCATGACCTCATTAGTCCCGTTGATGAGTCGGTGCTCGTCACCATCACGCTGTCATTGAAAGCTCACGTCATCCATGCTGTGTGCTGGAGGAAACTTGAATTGTGTGTTTGTGTGTGTGTGTGTGTGTGTGTGTGCGCAGAGCTGGAGGGAAAGGACGTGGAGGAGGTGTTCACTGCTGTCCTCAGTCCAGACAGCAGCAACAGCCAATCAGAGCAGA